TATTAAATGGAATGGTTACCGGCTCTCTCGCTGTTTCCCTCCATTCAACCTTCCCCGACCTTCTCTCATTGCTTCTTACAAAGAATCATGCTTTCCATTCTTCCTCCTCTTTTCCTGGACCCTGCATCCATCATTTGCTTCATTTTTCCCAAACCCATGTTTGCCTTTCTTGATTAAGGTACTTTCAATCCTTTTTTGTTTCATATATGACTGCAGTTCAATCCAATATTCTGTATTTTGATTGTATCTTTGCTATGTTGTTGTATGTTTTTCTCTTTAATCAGCCAAATGAATAGATGAATCTATGACATTATATGTCTTCCAGCATGTGTTATGCTATGCTTTCTAATTCAAGGTTTTGGATTTTGAGATTTGGTTATATCAATTAACAGTATAGAAATTAGATTTATTGATCAAATTTTAGATGTGGTTTTTTATAACTCTATAGTTTTTCAAAGATGATTATCATCTCCTATTATATAGTTTTTCAAAACAATGCATAATTACCTTAAATTGTAAACAATAATTGAAGATTGAGGGCTAACATTTAGTACATGACACAATGGGCTAAGGTATGTACAGATAAAATAACTTGACCACCATAATTGATTTCAAGGGTTACTTGACCTATACCTTGAAAGGAATATTTTTTTCAAATTTTTTTATAAATTGTGATAAGTATCAAAGTACATGGAAGAGAGTCTAGAGTGAGTTTGAAGAAAATGATGTGAAAAGCTAATGCATGTTCATCAACTCTTTATCCATAAATTACTCTTTATCCATAAATACCTCTTTTCACAACAGTAATGTGCTTGATAATTTATTTTTAACCAATTTGCTACTTGCAATTGCAATGTGTATTGTGAAACGTTCTCACCTAAAGAAAATAATCTCTTCTCTAACCATTGTTTTTAATTTCCTCAAATATTTTAGAACATCTTTCTTTTTCAATGTTTGAGCTAGAGGCACATTAAACATTATTGATAATTAGACATAATTATTAGACATTTGTATTTATATTTGTATTCACATAAATGTATATGGTGATATGGTCATCAAAATTATGTTGCACTTCACTCACTAACATGAAAGTTACATGTATAAACAAAATGTGTGTTGGCTGGCCAAAAATAAATGAATAAATAAACAATCAAATTTGTGTGTTTAGAATTTTGTAAAATTGAAATAGAGTTTCATATTATACAGTACAAGCTATTTCAAGGAGAAAATACAAACAGTGGAATGTTCATCCATGACAAAAAGTTGTGGAAGAGCATTGTCAAAATGTGGCTGTAGGTTCCCTTTTTTCTTTTTTTTTTTTCAATATATGGATATCAAAAGTCAAACAGGAAATAGTGAACTTTTTTATTTTTTCATGTTGTAGGTTTGCACATAATGCCTCACTTTCAAGGTATTTAGTGACCTATGCTCGGAGAGGAACTGTATGCAAAGATGTGAGGAAGTCAAAGCAAGCCACTGAATGTGTTTTACCTTTGATAAAGATGGCATATGTGCAGTCATAATATTGGGAAGGTTGAAATTTTGTAGTAACAAGATGAGGAGATTATTGCAGCGTGTCGCTATTTCTTTGATGAAAGAACTAATATGGTGTGTCGCCTGGCGCAGAATTGACTGGAGAAAACTGTTTTTTGCTGGGGCCATAATGACAGTAGCAGGAGTGTTGCTTCCAACCTTTGTACTTACTTATCCCATGTGGTTCCTCTCTTCACCCGTCGTTACTTCTTCACACCAACCCTTAAATGGTTCCATGCACTTGAGCAAGACACTAACTGAGGCAAGGTTTGAACAATTTCAACTTGTTCCTGCATCTCCCATAGTTTCTCTGAATTCCACCCAAGTAACTCAGCCATTGCCATTTAAGAAAGAGAGAACCAGAACTAGGAGATATAGAAGGAAAAAGAGGAAAACCAAGATAAACGATGAGCCAACAGTTATACCACCTCCACCTCGTAAAACAGTATCCCCTCGCTTGCAGGTAGTGCCATGACTTTATTTTTTTCTTTTCTGTCATGTGATACAGTCAGCTGATATCCCTAATTTTATTGTTGTGAGACATGTGATTCAGAGACACATTGCTTCTTTACCACCTCATGAGGCACTTGTGTATGCTAAAAGGGAGATTGAACATGCACCAGCAGTCGATGACGATCCTTATCTCTATGCTCCTGTGTTTCGCAATATTTCCGTTTTCATGAGGTATAATTCACAACTCACAGCATCATCTTTCATTGGTTATTTAAGGATTGCTTACTTAAACGAGAACATTACCAAATCTTTCTTTCTGGTCTGATTCAGTCCTTTTTGGAGCTTTAAGCTGTGGGAATATATTGAAACTAATTAAGGTTGAAATTGTGATCTTTCCTAACTTTCAGAAGCTATGAATTGATGGAAATGATACTTAAAGTCTACATTTACCCTGATGGAGAGAGGCCCATTTTTCATGATCCTCATCTCATGGGGATTTATGCTTCTGAAGGATGGTTCATGAAGTTAATGGAGGAAAATAAGGAATTTGTCACAAGGGACCCTGAAAAGGCTCATTTGTACTATCTACCTTTCAGTGCCCGCCAGCTAGAGTTGGCAGTCTATGTCCCAAACTCGCATGATTTGAAACCATTATCAATATTTCTAAAAGATTATGTGAACGTGATTTCTGAAAAATATCCTTTTTGGAACCGCACGCGTGGATCAGATCATTTTCTTGTTGCCTGCCATGATTGGGTAAGTTAAGGTGTCCTATTCTTGACCCCATAATGGTTTTCTTGTTGGGATTCTGTAAATCTCTTTTAGATTGATTCCCCTCTTTCAATTAATCATGTTTCAGTTATTCACATATATGCTTTCTCTTCTAACCCTTCATCTGTGCCATTCTAACTCTTGTAGTGTCCTTACACAACAACTGCACACCAGGAACTAAGGAAAAACACCATCAAAGCTGTATGCAATGCTGACCTCTCTGAAAAAATTTTTATACCTGGGAAGGATGTATCGTTGCCAGAAACTGCCATAAGAAATCCTGGAAGGCCTCTTAGAAATATTGGCCGTGGGAATAGAGTATCACAACGCCCAATCCTTGCTTTCTTTGCAGGAAACATGCATGGCAGGGTCCGTCCCAGACTTCTCAAGTACTGGCACAACAAAGATGAGGACATGAAAATTTATGGCCTTTTACCCACACGAGTTTCTAGAAATATATCTTACATTCAGCACATGAAATTGAGTAAATACTGCATATGCCCTATGGGATATGAAGTGAACAGCCCGAGGATTGTAGAGGCTATATATTATGAGTGTGTCCCAGTTATCATAGCAGATAACTTTGTATTGCCTCTCAGTGAATTTCTAGATTGGAGTGCATTCTCTGTGACAGTGGCTGAGAAGGATATTCCAAAACTGAAGGAGATTCTATTGGCTATACCACTGAGACGATACCTCAAAATGCAAATAAATGTGAAGATGGTGCAGAAGCATTTTCTCTGGAACCTAAGGCCAATGAGATATGATTTGTTCCATATGATACTGCACTCCATTTGGTTCAACAGGCTAAACCAGATCCAAATCCCTTGACTTTTTTTCCAAGTACTGCCTGTTGTGATGATGAGATGTAAAGCGTTAAAACTATCAAGAAAACCGGCATTAACAACTAGAAATTTGAAAGTTTGGTAGTCAGCATGATGAAGAATGCAATAGGATTGGTTGCTTGGGTTAGATAATCTGCAGCTGGTTAAAAATTATTAGCGCTTTGAGTTGAAGATAGGGTCAAAATGTTCCGAAAAAGGTTGTTGATATACCAGATTGAGGCTTTCTGATGAAGGTAAAACATGATTTCAGAAATTAGAAACTCCAATCTATTATGGTGGCAGTATGGCAATCATAACTGTTAGCCTGAATACCTGCACTGAATGAAGACATGCTGACACAAGCACATGGTAAATAATTAACAAGGTTTGCTTTAATTTTGTTCTTTTTGTGTACAGTCATCGTAGGACCTAACATCACAATTTTGAGAGACACCATGTTTGAATGAACAAATACCAACGAAAATTTCTCTATTATTAGGGGCTGGAGCATGTGCACTGTGTACAATAATCTGACATGAAAACAGTGAAAGCTTGTACAATAACAGACCTCTGAATCTCATTCATGCTCTCTTTGGTAACTTGAATTTGACGACGTGTATTTGAATTTGGAGTGCTCAAATTCAATTTTACTATTTGTTTTTACCTAAATAAAATGTAATTGAATTTGGATGAAATACATGTATTTTAACAGAGTAATTCTCATGAGTAAATTCCGTGTATTTCAATTTCACTCTAAAACCCTCGAATTTCAATTTTGAATTGAATTTGGTCTGCACTCTCTTCTCACCGACGGGCGATAAGCCGTCGGAGTCCCTCTCCTTCTATTTCCGACTCCTAACTTCAAATTCACAGCTCACTATTCCATTAAAAAAATCTACCTCCATGCCCAACTGCTTCTGATAACCGACGTCTCACCCAAATCATGACTGCTTATACCCACAGATCTACTGGTTCCATGTTGCCCAACCAAAACCCATTACGACCCACCTCCTGAAACAAGCCATGGTGGAGA